CTGCAGACAACAGAATGCTTCAACTTACCAAAAATGAATTAATGATTATAGATTGTGTAATTACTCACTGGAAATAGCTACCGATTAACTGAAGGGCCAATTCTACTGGATTTATGAGAGCAAAATGACTTGGAATCTATTTTAAGATCAAACTTAACCATATCTCATGTATCTTCAAGGATTTAAAAGCCACTTAAAGTCAATAAAAATCATAATATTTTACTCTTTTCTGAACTTTCTCTATAACAAGATAAACTTAAAAAGTGATCCATGATGAACTAACTATATAGCTACCATTTCTTTAGGTAGAACATTTATATGAAAAAGCCAGGCTTCTAATTTATGAAGAAAGAAACTTATACAGATATTTTAGATAGAATTTCTACTAATCTAAAGATCTGGAAGAGTACATAGTTGCCCCTAAAAATGGGATAAACTATATTCTGCATCCAGCCAGCAGGACTGTGCCAATAGAGTTGATGAAGGTCTTTAGATAGTTCTAGTAAATCTAGTAGTAAATCTTCAGATGGGTTATTTACTTGAGATTTTAAAATCGGTTCTAGAATATGCTGACCTCAGAGAGCAATCTTGAATCTATATAAGGACAATTGAACTTGCTTTATAGAGATGGGAAACTAAGTTAGTTGATATGTCCATCCAGATGTAAACATCCACCTAAATCAACAGTGCTTTTCTTATTTAGGTCTTCCAATATAAATTTATTTAGTTCAAGATAGTGACTTTAAGTAAGATTTAAATGTAACCAAATAAAAGGAGTTTCTTCTGATTTTAATTTCGTACATGGACATACTAATTTGGCCAGCTTTTCCTCCCTCTTTGTCCTACTTTGCAACAAAATGTTTGAAGTCTTACAGATATGTTTGTACTTCTGTGAATGGCTATGTTTCTATAACCTAAAGGAATACTAAATTATAAAAATTTTCAGTTTCTGAGTTCTTACATAAATAAGATAGTTTTGGGAGCTTCACTCACTCTTTAAAGACGGTAAAATAGAATAATGGAATAAAATTCTCCAATAACTAATACTATCAAAAATGTCAACATTTCTGTAACTCAAGTTAATCAAACTGAAGAAGGGAGACGTTGTAGGTATATTTGACCTGAGGGAAGAAAATTGTGAAACGTACAACGGAAAAATGAAAACTATAAAGGGAAGTGAAAAAAACATGCACTAATAGTATCAGTAATAAAAGGAGTAAAGAAAAACACATATCCTTTTTAGTTAGTTTCGGAAAAGAAAGATAAGGTTAAATAATGTTGTCATTTGTATCTTTACAATTAGAACGTATTTTTTTTTCCTCTATGAATAAGCACTGTACTTACAAGGGTTTAAAAACCAAAGGGTTTATACAGTGAAAACAATTCCTGACCACAAGAATTACCCACCCTTGGTCTTATTTTCTTGAAGACCTTATGAACATTCTTTTCATACAGATCTTTAATAAATGAGATTCTCCTGTGTTCGAAGTGGTAGTTTGATGCCACGTGAAGGCAGGGGACAGCCAATGGCAGATGGGAGGGAACTGTCTATCCCTGAGTATCTATTTTGTGCCAGTCTGTGCTGTAGGCTCTATACAAGGAATCTTGTTAAATTCTCACAATAAACACAGAGGTCTGGAGAATTTAGTGTCATGGAAGTTAGAAAATATCACACATCTAGTGAGAGCCAGAGACAGGAACTCAGCCGGTTTTCTGGACTCCGTACTGTGCCTGTCGTCTGTGCCGTCCCTCTTTCCAGGGGTGAGATGGGAACATGTCTGAATGCTCACGTCTCTTTCAGATGAAGCTAACTGTTCATCTCAACCAACTATGACATTTAATAGGAAAATGAGGTTGAGTGCAGTGGTGCACACCTGTAATCCCAAGGAGGGATTTGGGAGGCTGAAGCAGGAGGATTGCTTGAGCCCAGGAGTTCAAGGCTGCAGTGAGGTATGATCACACCACTGTACTCCAGCCTGGGTGACAGAGTGAGAGACCTTGTCTCAAAAAACAAAAACAAAAAAAAGAAGAAAAAAAAAAAGAAAATAATGTAATATTCTATTTGAAAATAAATATTTCTTACTTTTTGACTAATGAGCACCGGAGCATCGTTTACGGAAGAGGCCCAATTGACAAACTCAGACACATCAATTGTGGCTTTTCTGTGAAGCTTTTCCTTCAGTTCATATGCATATTTTCTGGTTCCACCTCTTATGAGTGAGATGACATCATCTATGAGGTTATCACGGGTGATGTTTACTGAGAAGAGAAGGAGGACTTAAAAAGAAGCATTTGTAGTTCTGTGATCAGTCACCAAGATGACATTTGATAAACATTTATTGAGCCCTTTTGGTATAGTCTAGTGCACTTATTGACTTTTAATTATAAATATTACTTGGGCAATTTTTTCACCACAACTCTGTAAGGGCAATTTT